GCTTAGAGCAACATCATCACAAGAGCTTGGTTTTGGGGAGCATTTTACACAAACCGTTGTTTTCGATGCTAGAAGAAACATTGCTGCATGTTTCAGGGATAAATTGTGTATTTTCCATCACTTTTTGCATCTGATGGTGGTTTGGCTGTAACTTGAGCGTATGCCAACGAATGGAAAACAAAACAAACATGCTAGCATAAGTCGCATAAGTTAGGTGTAAGTTTTGAATAAGTTATCAGCACGCTGATGTAAAATATCCAGCCAATCATTAGGTGTAAGTTGCAGGTATGCGACAGGGAAGATATGCTTAATGTTACATATCATGAGTTGATGTACATCAGAAATTGTGCCAATTGTGTACGTCCATCCATCCATCCATTATTTTTTACCCGCTTCTTCCATTTTGGGTCACAGGGGTCGCCGGTGCCCATGTCCAGCAATCCAATTGTGTATGTATATATTATTATTTATTTCTAACCTAAGAGCACCGTGACTCATGCAGAGCTTATGCACAACTTTAGTGTAACTTATGCTGAATTGTGCACAGCACGTTGGAACATATTGCTAGGATAAATGTGACATTAGATATAAAAGGACAGCTCTCTGCTCCCCCACTCAGTAATTTTGCACTCAACTATGTGCCTTGGAAGAAATCAAACAAGTCTGTGATCAAGAAAGCTGCAGCAGGATCATCCATCTCTGGTGATAGTTGTGGACCTCTGCACCTCATGGATCCAGCAGGAGTTGCTCATCATTTGTACCCTATATAAATCTCTCTCATGCACACACATACACACAACTCTCGCACACCTACATTAGCATGCTTGCCTTTTTTTTTTCATGTGCTGATGCCATAAGTCGCTGTGTGAGAGCCTCCCTCGTTGCAATATGCTCCTGCATGCTCTGCATAACGTTGTGCACAAGCTCTGCATAAGTCAAAACATGCTGTCTTATGCTTGTAGAAGTTTTATGTACTGTATAAGCTAGGGACAAGTTATGAATAAGTTACTTATAGGTTATATATTTGTTCATATTCGATCATGCATCCAAAAAAAGGTTTCCAGTTGATTTTTTTTACTCCATCTTCAGCGTTTGCCTGTGTGTTGGACAAAATTTACATAAGTCTGCAGAAGTTCTCTAAAACATTATAGGCAGGAAAACCACTAAATCCTTAAAAGTACTTTATACAACCATATTTTTTAAAAAGTTTCATGTTCCCAAATAATGAAAAATGGTCTAAGCTGTTGTGTGATCTGTTGATAAATTATACAAATGTCCATTATTAATAAACAAAAATCTTCAGCTTAATTTAAATGCCCCAATTTGAAGGAAAATTGTAAAAAGGATAAACAAACAAACAGGTAAGAGAGACAGGATTTAAGAAAGTGAGTGCTGGAACTGGTATTGAGGACAAAAATCCAGGAGCCTCTTGGAGTTCTTCCTTGTGCTTCTTTCCATTTATTTAACTCACCCTTTCTTTTTTTAGGGTTACACTTCCAGTCACTGTTGTTTACTTTTTGCTCTCTTGGTTGCTCTCTTTTTAACCCAACCTCAAATGTTTTGGTTTTCACTCAGTTTATTTGCTTTGTTGCTATTTCTTTTCTTGTTCTTGCTATTTTTTCAATTTGTTTTAACTCCGGAGCAGTCGTATCACCTTATAAGGTCTCACGATATCACACACGGAAACATGGTGACAGACTGAACAGTGATGTGTTTCCTGGGCTGGAGTTGAACCAGATTTTCATAGCAGCACAAACATACGAAATAAACTCTATACACACATTTTGATCTGTTTCACAGTTAAACTGCAACAACATTTAAAGGAGAAACTTTGACATAATCAACTTTATTTGTATTTATTTACGTCTTCAGTTGATGTGGGTGCCTTTAACTCAGTTCATCTTCCAGTCTGAAAGTTAGAGGCTTGATAAGAACATAGGTTTGTAATATGAAGAGCATTAATATGTAACTGAAAGCCCTGTATGTGTGTGTCGGCATGAATGAAATGCATTGTTTTCCAAAACCTGGATGAGCTTTAGAAGGTGCTAAAATGTAAAAATTGGTTAGTTAGAACAAAAAAAACACCCATATCCACATTTCAAATGAAAGCAGATGCTCAGCTATGCAGAAAATCATATCTCAAAAACAGGAAAATGCTTGCGTACTGCGCAGGACTTAACTTTTGATTCATTTTTATGCCACCTGGTGACGCTTTGAGCACAACTCTTCATCAGACAAACTAAAATATGCATCACCATCCTAAATCATGTGAAAACAGTTATGTGAAGAAGCTGGTCAATGAAAACAAACAATGAAATATTTAACATGACATACAGATTTTTATTTTTTCAGATTTTGCCTTGTTGGTGTGAATCATAGATTTTGTTTTAATTTTTTAGAAGCACACAGTAAAGTGACTGGTTGTTTTGTCAAACTGTCTAGTAAAACTTCCAGACATCCAAATAATACTGCTTTTCTTGTCTTCAAAGGAATAACTGACCAAACTCTCTCATCATTGTCTAATTAGCCTCGAACGTTACTGTCTGAGTGTCGGTTTTATCTGTTTTACTTTAAAGTTTCCGTAATGTTTTTTTTCTCTAAGCAATAAGTTGTCAAAGCTTAATTTTGTCAAAATTGAATGGTCTCACCTTGTTACAGAAGGTAGTCAGTTACAAGTTTTACAAAATTTATTCAAAGATGCTACATTTCTAATTTACTTCTCATGTTTTGCTTTAAAACAGTTTTAATGTTAAAGTGGCTATATCACTGAAGATGGCAGTGCTGGGTCCAGCTGCAGCTGCATTGTCTCCTAGCAGTCTGAATTTAAGTTATGATTCCAGGACCTTATTGGAACTACACACATTTGGTGGCCATGGATCAGTAAATTGTCGGTAGAGTTGTCATTTCTAACCCGAATCCCGGCCCCACCCCACCCGGATTCGGACCGTTCCGGGCCATAATGTGTGGGCCGGGTCGGTGTCGGGCTTTTTATTGCGTCAGGGACGCACGCACGTGTGGCTGACGATCCAATATATGCAAACATGGCTTGCCATACTACACCTGCCGCATGCAGCCATATGACCGCCCGCTGACTGGCCAGTTGGAAGAGGTAAAAAGTTCATTTAAGCTTCAGATGGACTACTGATGGCATTCCATCAGCCCAAATGGACGTTCATTCAGCCGCTGCACTCAGCGAATGCCCACGGCTGAGACCCGAACAGGTGAGATCACAAAATATTGGACATGTCAGAGCAGGGTTCAATGCTTGCAGAAGCAGGGGAAGCATTTAATGCACTTTGACGGCTCCTCAGCTCTGATCTTCTGCCCCTTCAGCCGTGCGCGTCTGCCAACCATTAATAATAGTTTGTGGTATAAGCAGTCAAAGCTTAATTAAAAACAATTACTGTTAATTTGTCAGATCGGGTGGGGTTCAGAGATGATGGCTGCAGGCTGGGGCCGGGTCTGTTCAGATTATTTTTTGCCGGTGTATAAGCCGCTACTTTTATCTCATGCATTGGACCCTGTGGATTATATTCAGGAGTGATTAATTTATGTATTTTTTAAATTATAATATTTTATTTT